AAAAAAAAAAAACAGGTTGCTGGCACATAGGAGCAACAAACCAGCGGTTAAAAGTTAATTTAATATTTTGTTTAATTAATTTATGTATGTGGTACTCATAGAATGATGTTTATTATTTCATTTAAAATAAATATAATTTTTATTTTTTTTATAAATCTTAATAATTATCTAAAAATAAATGATTTTTAATAAAATTCTAAAAACTTCAAATTGTATATATATATATATATATATATTGTCCCACTTATAATTCAAAAATCAAATAATGTAAATGGGAGTGTAAAATATATTATATAAAATATACTTATAAATCTTTTACCATTAAATTTTAAGTTTTTGAGTTTGTTTAGCTATTAATATTAATAATTATTTTCAAATAAATGATTTTAACAAAGTTAAAAAAGTTTAATTGTAAATAATTAGTACATAATCAAATCAAATAATTAATTATACATGTTATAGTTACCCACATTGTTTCTAATGGTGGGTTTAAGATCAGTTAGATGATAAATTAATATTAAGATGTTATGAAATATTTAGCTGATAAATATACGAATTTGTATTAATATTTAACTTAAAAGAAAAATTTGGGTGTTTGTTTAAAATGTATAAATTTTGGGCATAGATGTAAAATAAGGGGAAGATAAAAGCGGAGATACAATTTGTTCGTTTGACAAGTCAATCCTCCTTCTAGCCCATGTCACTTTCATTCTATTATAAATCACGAATCTCCACAATAATATGATATCGTCTACTTTCGTGAGTTAGTAATGAACTTAACCTTAGTACCTCACAAACTTGAATGTAGCGCATGCACCAACGAGAAAAGTATAGTCGCTGTTGCCACCTCCCCCTCTTTTATTCCCATAATTCGAATAATCCCATAGCCTAAACTCGGACGTCTCCTTTGGAAGCAGCCCCTCCTTTTTTGCGAATTCCTCAAATCTCCCGTTCATAATAAGGATATGAGATTTTGTGGGTTATATGAATTTCACCTTTATCACGTCGGTTTCACCCATTGCTTACTGTTCCCTAAGAAATCCTCTCAAAAGATCTTGGTGGAGTCTATCAAAACAGGTAAACACAAACCCCATCAATCAATCGTACTCGAATGATCTGAATGATGGTGAAAATTCTTTATTTATAATCATTTGCATAATTAAATAAATATTAGTTAAAAATTAGGGGTATACTTAATTTGCATAACGTCAGTTTCTCTAAAAGAAAACTCTGCATGTGGGAAGTTGAATACTATACGATCAAATTCCTTGTAGCAGAGGCTGCAGTGTCGGCTCATCGCTGTCGCATCCACTTCATGCAACACCATGCCACCGAGCAGCCCCAACGCTTCCAAGATGGCGGCCACACGACTATACTTACACAGCAGCAACTCAATAGTACGAGGTCTTTTGAGAAAGCTTATATTCAAAATATTATCTTATTTGAGTTTTCTTTAAAGGTTTTTAATTTATTATTGTTTATTTCTTTTACTTTTAGTACATCAACCACCCAATAACCATAATGCCACACAAACATGTTAGTGGAATCATTATTCATCATTCTCTTCCAACTTCCATCATTCCAACCTCGAACACCTACCTACACAAGTCGCCTCACTTTATTTACACTAATTTTCAATTCCTTTAAATTTTTTTTAGTCGTTGATTGCTTTTTATTTGAATGTGATATCAGTTCATTTATATGTCCCTCCTTTATTACCGTGTCACATGTCCACCTATTTCTCTTTTCGTTTGTCTCCAAGCCACACCTTATTTAGAGAGGTATTTCTCTAATACTATTCTCGATTTGTATACATTGTTCTTGTGCAGAAGGCTTGCTTGTATCATTCCAATTCATTTAAATCTATGAACCAAGTTTGTTGAAATGGTTAATTAAAAATGGGTTCTTGATCACGTACGCCTGAGTTCATCTATGATGGGGCATTAAGCATTAGAACAATAGTGATAATTTATAAGGGCTTCCAAATCCAAATGATTGTTCCACAAGAAAACCCAATCCTAAACAAGAATCCCACGCAATTCTTCCAGATTTTCCCACACAACCACCCCACTAACTCACGAACAACCCCACTACACATACTATAAATTCACCCAATTCATGCTAAACCAAACCCCAACTCCATCTCTGCTTCATCAATCAAGATTTTACAATCATGGCCTCCTTTTCCTCTGTTTCAAAACCACCTCTGATTGTAGCGGTGTTTGTAATTCTGGTGGCTTCCGAGGGTTTCATTGCCCGAGCTAGGGCGGCAGGAGAGTGCGGGAAGACACCGGTAGAGTCCGCGGCGTTGGGGCTGACGCCGTGCCTGGCGGCTACCAGGGATGCCAGAGCTAAGGTTTCGCCGGCTTGCTGTAGCAGAGTGGCGGCGATGTTTAATACTTCCCCGAAATGCTTGTGCGCTATTCTGCTTTCGCCGGTGAGTAAGCAGGCCGGAATTAATCCGGCCATTGCTATTACCATCCCCAAACGCTGCAACATCAGAAACCGTCCCGCCGGCAAGAAATGTGGAAGTAAGCTCAGAGCTATTCTTTCCTTTTTATTAGTTAATATTTAAAGCGACTAAAGTGAAATTAAATATTGGAAAGAATTATTAGATTTTCTAAAATTCCATTGTTTTAATTTGAAACAAATATATTGAATAATGTGGTTTTGATTTTGCAGAGTACACTCTCCCTTGAGACAGCAGCCCACACCCACTCTGAGAGATGTTATAATGTTATGTTATAACTATGCTATCAAATTTCATCCAAATAAATAAAGGGATGTTCGAGTTATTTTCTTACGAGCGCTTTCTTTTAAATATATTCAATCCTCAATAGAGGTTCAAGCATACGTGTCTGAGTCGATACTTTTGTTTTGTCGATAAATAATTTTAAAAACATATAATTGTCTTATTTGGTGTATGACTTTAATACTATTTTGTAACCGTTTAAGTTCACGAGCAAATATTGTGATAAGAAATCATTACAAGTAAGTAAGATTTAGATTATTTTATTGATCAAATATCTTAAAACAATAAAATATTTCTTGATCATGTCAAGTTTGAATGATTTTAAAAATGTAAACTAAACTATATAGAATTGTAAACAAATTTAATATAACATAACATACATGTTTTATATAGTCTCAAAATGAAACTCTGACCTCTTCCATGACACATTTCAAGAGTTTATAATTAACCATGATGTAAATTTAACCAAAAACTAAATAAAAAAATTTATAACCTAAAATACATAAATCGAACATAAATCTAGTTTTCAATTATCCATCATAAATTTGTAATTGTTTAAAAGTAAATGAAGCCCAAGTATCGAGATGCCTTTATTCTATCAGATTGTCTTTCTTAGACTTTCCTTTTTAAGTTTTTCTCGAGGTTTTAAAACGCATTGAATGTTTCGTTTCCCTCTCCAACATAACATAGGATATCAACCATTTATATTCTCTATCATTAATTTTAAGATTTGAAATAATAATTTCAATTATAATTTTTAATTATTTGTTCATAATTCATTTGTTAGCCATTTAAGAAAACTTTAAATCGTAAAATAATAGGTTTGTCATTAAAATGATAATAATAATAAACTTAACCAAGATTTTAGATTTGATTAAAAAAGAAGTAGACAAGTTTAATAATTTATTAATTACTTTTCTAAAAAAAGTCACTTTTTTTTTTCTTTCCTTAAAAACAATAATTTAAAGAGCATTTATATGATTACTAACGTCATTATTTTGATTTCAAATTATAGATATAAACAAATAAATAAATTCGAGAGGGACCAACTAAAAAAAGAAAGGAAAAATAATAAAAACAATTATTGTATATAAAATTGTTTATTTAATTCGAAACAATTATTCATTTTAATTTGTTATTTTTATTTATTTCTGTTTCCGTTTCTTATGAGATAACTCAATCATTTATTACATGAAAAATTAAATGATAATTTTTATTTGACTTATCTAATTATATTTAAATTTCAGACGGAAACAAAAAAACAGAAAAAAATGTACGGCTTTTGAAAAAATCAATTTAAATATATAGGAATTAAATTAAAACTAAAATTTTGATATATAGTTTACAAATAAATATCAAATTATAATTAAAAAACTATAGAAAGTAAATTGAAATATTAAATAATATAACGTTTGAAAAAATTAGTCTATCTGTGTACGGGCCTGGATTTCAAAAACCTTGTGTGATTGGACATTTTTTAAAATAAATAAATAAATAAATAAATGTTATTTGTTTTTTGCAATCTCGACGTTGGGCCCAGCTCAGCCCAGCCCAGTAACGAAGCCCATCTGTGATTTGGCACTTTCCCGACCGTCTGATTGTCCATTGGGAACAAAACAGCAGAAATGCGATGCCACCTCTGCCGTCTGATTCTGAGTCAATCAATGCCTTTGGATTGTACTTGAGTCAAGACAGAGACTCTCGACCGTTCAAACTCCCATCATTATCTTCTCAACAATTTTAATTTTGTTTTTTTTCAAAAAAAAAAAAAAAAAAAAANTTTTTTTTTTTAAAAAAAAAAAAAAAAAAAAAAAGGGTCCCACACAACCACCATGGACATCATGGACCCAGGGGCATGCGACACTATGGGTCCCACTCCAGAAAAACACAAACCCATGTATGCAAGTTACAACAATGCCTATTTAATGAACAACAAGACAAAAATTTAGCTACCTTACCTTAGCTTAGGACCTCTACACAATCATCCCCATAACAACTTTTGCTAACCTATCCAATAATGTATTTGGACATACCCTTTAAATGTATTGCTTTTTTCTTTCTATGCAAAACAAATATGGTTCAAAACAACATTCTCCCGACATTCTTCTCAATAATCTTCAGATACTCTTATTAGAGTAATAATACCATTGGACAACTACCACATGGAGCCTCAACCTAGACTCCAATTGAGTTGATATTTGCTGATCAAATCGACTTCTTGAACCTTATGCCCCATGATTGAGCCAACCCTAAGGTGTTGACCTCAAACCCTAATTAATCCCTTCTTTACCTCTTGGTAAGCTAATTGAGCTAGTTATTCCTTAGGATTCAGCCTTACGGTTGTGCTAGCCAATTTAGCTGTCTAGCTAGTCGACTCTTTAGGTCAGTCCTCTATTCGAGTGAGCTTATCGTTAGGGGTTGTTCTATGGTCGAGCTAGTTGATCCTAGGGGTCAGTTTCATGGTTTAGCTATTGACCTTTGGGTTGGAGTTGTTCTAAAAAGTTTGTCTCAAAGCCAACCTAACTGGAGCTGGTCTCACTGCCAACTTGACCTCCCTTAGAGGGTTGGATCTCTTTTTTGGATAATGTCTTTGACTAATCTAAAATATTTAGTTTCCTTGTATTACATTTTTCAACACATACCAATAGGATGTTACTAAAGAACCCGAAGCAAAACTAATTTAAAATGAAATTTGCATATTATGCTTATGAAACCATGCTTGTTTCTTTGCATTTCTTGTATTTATATTTCCACACTAGAATCATTCAATCAGTCTCATTCAAGCTACTTTGTAGATTAATTCAAATGTTGAATTTATAAACAAGTTTTTGTTACTCATAATATTAATTATCAAGGTAAATCTGAATCTTACCTTTTGGATTGTTAGATCGAGTTTATCAATAATTTCATTTCACTATCTCAACGATTGAGTTTCCTATTTAGCTCGTCCATTGTGCCACTTTGATTCATCTCTTCCACCTCGCTTAACATGTTAACCAAATAGTTGGATTTACAATCTTATAGCTCTTCCAAGATTATTTTAATCATTGATGTCACATGACTCATCTCAATGTTCTCGATATCAGATAATCTACCTCCTCTAAGCTCATATCATAATCATTAATGTACCGTGACTTACTTAATAGTTGGTTTCATCAACCATTAACAACTAGAATGCGACTATATATTACAATTAGCAATTTACGATTAGGGTGGGGTCATATACCTAAACTAATCGACTGTATAATACAATTAGCAATTAACCATTTTAAGTACGACCCTACAATACAATTAGCAATTAATCATTAGACTTTTATAGGGAATAACAACCCACATGTCATCTTTGGTATATGACAAGTCTAGCACAATAATGGTTTAGCTAGGGTTTAGATAATATAATAGTTTATAGCTATTTATTTTGTTTATTAAAAACTTATAAATCCTTCTTACATTCCGATGATTCCAATTTATAATTTCGTATAGAGTTTACAAACTATCGGGTTGTTCTTAACTATTCTCAATTCGAAAGTCGTATGAATTTTTTAACCAAATAAGCTAACATTTTATCGAATGAGTTGGAATAAAAAGATATTATCTTCTTTGAGCTTTCCCCTCAAGGCTTTAAAACGCGTCTGCTAGGGGAAGGTTTCCACACCCTTATAAATGATGATTTGTTCTCCTCCCCAACTCATGTGGGACATCACAAAGCTCGTGTTTTTAAACTTATACACTCGAACAATACCTATAGTTTTCTTTCTTCACATCAACTTTCAATCTTTTTGGTTGTCTGAACTTGTTCTCTATTCCTTCACGAGAGTCGTAGATCTTATTAAAACAACCCTAAAATAACCTTACACTTGGGGTGAAGCTCCAACCATCACCACCAAAACGACTCGTCCTTCAAATTGAAACAACATAACTCTAGTACACTTCTTAACGATTGAAATCCCTTAAACCTCCATAAAATGATGATGATGTCAATTCTTCTCCATCGAAGATCAGTTCGAACTTAGTTTTACAAATCCATCATTAGTTTCTAGTTCATACTCGAAATTACTACACGAAATTGAAATGAAACGCCAATTAGTAAAAAAAAAACAAGTAGGAGAGTGTATTGAAGATTTAGAAAGTTGAATTAAAGTGAAAGAAAAAGTGAAAATTTGAATCGTGTATGCTTTGAGGAGGCCAACTCACTGTCCTTTCCATACACAAAACATTAAATCATCACATTTGCAATTATTTAGTCTCCCACATTTTTCTTTTTTCTTTTTTCTTTTTTATTTTTTTAAATAAAATTTATTATAAATTCAAACATTGAAAAAGAAAAAAAAAAAAAGAAAAAAAGAAAAAAAAGTTGCACCCCATTTTCCGAATCCCAAGACCCAACACTTTTTTCTTGTTTCTTGCCGTTGACTGAGCTCTTCCAAAATCATCAAAATCTCTGTCTTTTTCTTTTTTTCTTTTTTCTTTTTTCTTTTTTGTTTAATAAACCCTTTTCAATAATTTATATATCCCCAAATTTGAATTCCCCAAATGCCACTTTCAATTTCACTAATTACGCCATGAATACTCTCACTGACCTTCACTCTCTGCCGTTCTTCAATCCCGCCGTCCACCACCCATCTTCCCCGCCGCCGATTTCCACCGGCTACTTGGAAGATGCCTTGCTGGAATTCACTTCCAAACGACCTCGTTTCGATCACCATCATCTTCTTCAATTGGAGTTCCCTCACAGCTACTGGAGTTCCTGTTGCACGTGGGAAGGAGATGCCTTCAATTCCACCAACCATATCGACCATATCAATGATAATTATGATTATTATTATTATGATACGGTTTCTCCAGGTGGGGGTTTTTTTTTTTTTTTTTTTTTGACTTTTTTTAATTGTTCATGGAGAAGCTTATTAAATGAGCAACTTTATTTGGAAAGAAAAAAAACAAACGTACGGTTTGTTTGTTGGGGTTGTTTTAATTGAATGAAACTGAATTGGGTTTTTTTGGTTTCGGATTTTGACTTGATTGAATGATTCAGATGAAATGTTCGCTGCATCGCCAAAAAGCAGAATTAGCGACGAAACCAACACAGATCTATCCATGGGAGATATGAAAACGCCAGAAATTGAAGCGTTTTCCACTCCAAATCATTTCTATTATGAACATCAAGCCGATGCTGAGTTTTTGCCTTGCAAGCAGCCAATTTCAACAGGTTTTTTTTTTTTTTTTTTTTTTTTGAGGTTTTTCTATGAATTTGAGCTGATATGGGTATTGGGTATGCGTAATTATAATCAAAATACGATCTTGGTGGGGCAAATTGAATCATTTTCCAATAATTTTGATGGGTTTATTTTAAAATTTGTTTGGTTTGAATTGATCAGATGGTGGCAGTGTAACGAAGAGGGCAAAAAAGAGGAAAGTGGTGTATCCATTTGAGTTGGTGAAGCCGGGAGGTATCGACGGGGATATAACCTTAAACGACATAAACGAAAACATGTTGATGCCGCCGACACGGCCAGTCCGACACCCAGTTGGGGATTTCGCGTGTCGGCCGTGCGTGTCGGCGGAGGGACCGGGGCTGTCTGGGAAAGCCGTGGTGGCGCTGACCAAAATCCATACTCGAGGAAGGAGAGGGAGCATCACTATTATTAGAACCAGAGGGTAAAACCCCAAATATTGTACAGAGAGGAGAGAGAAAGAGGGAGAGGAGAGAGAAAATGTGTATTGTAATATAATATAATGATTGAGTGAAGGAATGAAGGAAGGAGGTAATGAGTTTTAGGCTGCCTTGTAATTGAGTTTTAATGAATGTTTTGGGTGTTTGGTCATTTACTCAAACATCCGCACAGAAACACAGTCTCTTTTTGGTCTGAACCTAACCAGGCTTTGTTGCAGAACAAAAAAGAACAGTGGAAAAAGGATGAAAACAAGACAGTCTCGCGTACAAACCCCAAACCGTTCGATTTTATGAAACTGTGTGCTATGGGCCGACTTTATAAGCTCAATTTTAAATCATTTAAGAATACCGACTTTCAGTTACTCGCTCTTTTATCATAATGATAGAAGCCCTATTAGTAATACGATTGTAGTGTTTTTAGATTTAACTATCAGATTGTGTTATGCGACTAATTGCATTTTATATTGTTAAAATTTGGATTAAAAAATAACAAATTTGAATGATGAACTTGTAATAACAAAAAAAAAAAAAAAAAAAACTCCATACCCAAACCCAAAGATTTGAAATTTGAATTTGGTTTTTGATGGTATCGACGTTCTTTTGTATCTTTACATACGTTCTTGTTTCTTAGAAAACTATCTCCATAGACTAATATAAAGTTCTTCGAGAACTCGTAAAATTCGTATGATTGAGCTACCGAAAAGAAAAATGCATTTTGTTAGTAGACATAAACTTTTTTAATTATTCTTTTCTCGAGATTGTTCTTGTTTGAATGTGAGATCGATTCATTTATGTATATGTTTTAGGAGGGAGTCGAGTTGGTCGGTAATGTAATCAACTATGAAATGAAGATTTTGAATTTATGATAGAATAATAATAATGATAGAAGGTAAAGCAGGCATTTCCTATATTGTGGTAGTGACTGCGTGGTCTGACACCTAAAAAAAACATGAACAAATCTCAAACACAGAACCCACTGCTGATTAAATAATTGCTCAATAAAAACTAATTTATTTCGTAACCCAATTCGACAATATCCAACACATGGGCCCTTCCCCCCCTCCCTCTACTCCTCTGATCATGTTGCTGCATCATCCACCCAACATCACACCCCTCCAATCCCTTTCCTTTTAACCTAATCAACGGTGGAATGCAAATATAATCTCATATCGTACTATCTATTTTAGATCAAGCAATATGTGGACTAACTCTCGATATAACGATAACAACAAGGCGTGTCAGCAAATCAACTTATGAAGTTTCCACTGATATATGATCACCCAAGAAACATCACGAACAAATTAAGTTCCAAATTAGTGAATGTAGTGTGATGTAAAATTAAAGTTTACTATTAGTAACTCATTTAACTATTTTTGTTTAGCAATTGCGAGATTTGGGTATCAAATAATCGAGCATGAGAAAAGACAATTGATACCGGATCGAGACGGTGTTATTTAATTTAATTTAATTTAATTTAAATTGGGTTGAAAGATAGGTAATTTTAAATTGCAAGCTGTAAGGCATGAAATGGCGGCAATGCATACCTACTAAGTTGAACATTCGGTTGTGTCCATTTATTCAAAATATAGGATCTATTCTTTGGGAATGGCCCCTCTTTTTTTCTTTTTCTTTTTTTTTTTTAACTTTATTATAATAATAATAACAATTATTTAATATATTTCTTTATTTCTTTATTTCTTTATTTCTGGTTTTGACTTTTATATGACTTTTGAAGGATGGGTTTGGTTATTTGAATCACAAATTTCCCAATCAATTAATCACAATCTCAACCACTTTTTGAATTTTTGTACTTTCAGATTTACTATTTAATCACATTTTCAAGTTAACAAAATAACAAGTAAAACGACTTAATATTTATTTATTAATATGAATATTATTTTTTCTAAAAATATCTATACTTATATCAACAAATTATTAAGTAATGTTTGATTCCACATATTTTTCTTTGCAATATTATGAATAATCTTTTCATTTATTAACAAAAATAGACTATATATATACTTTAGTGATTCAAATAAATAGAAGAGAGGCATACTTTCCAGCTGGTGATATGAGCTCGTTGAACCTAAAACAAAAAGCTAATTAATTCATCTTTTTCTTGCTTTTCTTAGGATCGCTTCACACTCAAGCTAACTCAAATTCTTCGCCTCTTTTTCAAATCAAGTAAATTCAAATAAATAAATAAATATATATATATATATATATATATAATCGAGGGTAGTTTCTAAATTTAAAATTGTGTTCGGTATTGTATAATGAATTATTAAATTATTAGATTTTGTATTTAATATCTCATAATGATTAACTATTATTTTCCACACTAAATTAAAAGTTATAAATTGATTTAACAAAAAAGTGGATTTTGTTGTGTCACATGCTAACCATTCATTTCAATTTTTACCTTTTCATTATTATAATTTAGCAGCCAAAAAAAAAAAAAAAGAAAAAAAAAGAAAAGAGAACCCATTTTTTATTTACAATAATAAATTAAATAAAAACATTGATATGCGTGATAGAATGTCTGCTACTTTTGTTTTAGTTTCTTTTCTTTTTTTCTTTTTTCAAATCCCCAAAGATGAGAAAATTATAATATTTTTAAAAATATATTTATCTTGGGATTTCAACTGTTTAATTTTTTCTTTTTAATTAAAAAAAGTTAATACTGACGTCACAGGGTATTCCATGACGTAGGATCACACTATGGATGATATTTGTGGATCCTGATTGTGGGCCAAGGCCTGCCACCTTGGGTCCAACAATGAGTGTGTTTAGTCTCGGACTTAGAAATATGGGCTTCAACAACTTGGAAATATGGCCCAATACTCCCACACAATCAATGGAAGAAACTAAGCTACTGAGAGATCAAAATCTCTTGGGGTAACAAAAATGTCGAGTTTGGATTGGACCTAAATTAAACTTAAGGCTAATATCTTTTAAAACACAATCATATCGTCCTCTAGATCTTCGCTTAGCAAATGAGTGAATAGCCTAAGCGATGATCAAATGTTGTTTGTTCACTGTAAATCGAAAGATGATGATTTAGGCCAACACAATCGGAACTGAATTCCATCTGACATTTAGAATAAACTTTTGGAATACGACATTGTTTTTGTTCTCGAGTAACCTACGGTTGGCTTCATTCTCAAAGAAGAAGATTAAGACGATTGTTTATAATTATTTGCTCATGGTCAAACTACATCAGGCACCCACTTCATGCTGGGAATTATTTCCTGTATGTCCAATGGTAACATAAGAACTGCTCACTAAACATAAAATAACTTCAAACAAGGATGGGAAGGGACTCCACCCGCTATCAAATACACGCTTATTTCTATGTTTTATAGCCCACATGTAGACCACAAACAGACTCATTTACGAACAAAATGAAAAATAACCACACCTATTATAATGAGTTTCTGAATTCATGGAACCTGGTGAAATGAAAGTACACTGGGTGAATCAATTCTCACTATGACACCATCATCCTCAGCACCTGATTCCTCACTTGAATCATCCCTTGTATTAGTCTCATTTTGAGCTGATTTTTCTTGTGGTGGCCGAGCAGCGCTTGTTGGTAGCTTTCTTGCATCTAGCCTATTTCTCATTGTAGCAGCTCCTTCTGATTTTACATATGGAAGGGGAGCACATCTATACGAAGCCATCGAAGGATTTGACCGGCTAAGGGATGGTTCAACAATGTTGCTTGGAAAACTCTTAGTTCGCTGACGAGTATCAACCTTGCAGAAAGATAGGATGAAATCAAAATCAAAATGTAATGACTGAGATATTAGGACAAACTATACAAATACCAGTCAGTTATCTTTGGCAGCCAAAAAGATACCTTTTACTAGGTATAAAAATAGTTAGGAATCACGGCTCTCCACAATGATATTGTCCACTTTGAACATAAGCTCTCGTGGCTTTACTTTTGGTTTCCCCAAAAGACTTCGTACCAATGAAGATGTATTCCTTACTTACAAACCCATGATCTACCCCTTAATTAGCAAATGTGGGTCACCCCTCCCAACAATCCTCAACCATCCTCAACAATCCACCCTCGACAAAGCACACCATAGAGCCTCCCCTGAGACCTATGGAGCCCTCGATCAGCCTCCTCTTAATCGAGACTCGACTCCTTTTCTCTGGAGCCCTCGAATAAAGTACACTCTTTGTTCAACACTTGAGTCACTTGTGACTACACTTTCGAGGCTCACAACTTCTTTGTTCAACATTTGAGGATTCCATTGATACAACTAAGTTAAAGGCATGACTCTGATACCATGTTAGAAATCACGACTCACCAGAATGGTATGATATTGTCCACTTTGAGCAAAACTCTCATGGCTTTACTTTTGGTTTCCCCAAAAGGTCTCGTACGAATGGAGATGTATTCCTTTCTTATAAACCCATGATCAACCCCTTAACTAGCCGATGTGAGACACCCCTCCTAACAATCCTCAAATACCCAATTGGAAAAGTTTGCCTAACAGAATTTAATAGCTATATTGAGAATACGTTGGGGGTTTATTTATAAAGTGAAATCTGAAATATTACAACTGAACATACCATGCTGCCGTATATGCTTAGCTGCATTGCCTTTGCAGACAAGCTCTCAGCTGGACGCTCAGTTTTTTCAGATTTCTGCTTCTGTGGTGGTCTTGGAGCGGACAATAGTTGAGGCCAACTCATAAGACCAGAGTGATCTCTGCTCGGTGATCTTTGAAGGTGATCGGCAGAAGATGATGACTGATTTAGAATGTTATTTGATTGAAGGGCAGCCATGTCAAAAATGATTACTCTTGATCTTGTTGTAACTTCATAAGAGGAGCCTTGATGAGAAAAACTAGAACCATTCGTACCTGTAAGAATCAATAAATAGCAAGTCTTAACAGTTGTTTCCTTCTTTGCACATGAAAAATTGAGGATACGCATCCACTGTAAATGACATAAAGAGTTATGCCAGGATTGGGTCGTATCAAATTATCAATATAAAGTGCTTCGCTATTTATCATAACCAAATCAAGAGATTCAACGAGAACTAGTTAAAGAAAACCATTACTTACAAGTACATACGCACACAAGACGCATAGCACACACTTGGTAGAATGCATACTAAGAATTGACCTTAATTCAAATGACAAGACTGCCACGATA